CCCTGCCCTGGTGAGCATCTAAGGCTCTGTCCCTTACTATGTAACAGGTGTGCTGAGACCAAAAAAAAAAAAAAAATGGCCCAAGTGAAAGAACAGTTCAAAGATCCAGAAAAAAATACAACTAAGGGATAACCAACCTGGCAGATACACAGTTCAAAACACTGCTTATCAGGATGTTCCAGGAACTCACTGGGTACTTCAGCAGCAAAAAACAAAACAAAACACCCCAGCAGCAATGAAGTTTGCACTATGTGAAATAAAGAAAAATCTACAGAGAACCAACATTGAGAACAAGAAAACCAGGACTCAGGTCAATGTTTTGGAGGACAAGGAATAAAGAAACATTCAACCAGAACAGAATGAAGAAACAAGAATTCAGAAAAAAATGAGGAGATGCTTAGGAACCTCCAGAACATCTTTTGATGTTCCAACATCCAAACCATAGGGGTGCCAGACATACAAGAGGAAGAGAAAGAAATGGAAAACTTGTTTGAACAAATAATGAAGGAGAACTTCCCAATCTGGCAAAGGAAATAGACTTCCAGGAAGTCCAGGAAGCTCAGAGAGTCCTGAAGAAGTTGAACCAAAGGAGGAAGACACCAAGGCACATCATTGTTACATTAGCCACGATTAAAAATAAAGAGAGACTCTTAAAAGCAGCAAGAGAAAAGGAGACAGTTACCTACAAAAGAGTTCCCATTAGACTATGAGCTTATTTCTTCAAAGAAACCTTGCAGGCAAGAAGGGGCTGGAAAGAAATATTTGAATTCATGAAATTCATGAAATTCTTGAATGCAAGAACCTACATCCATGATTAGTCTAACCAGCAAAGCTATCATTTATAATAGAAGGGCAGATGAAGTGCTTCCCAGATAAGGTCAAGTTAAAGGAGTTCACCATCACCAAACCCTTATTATATGAAGTGTTAAAGGGACTTATCTAAGAAAAAGAAGATCAAAAATATGAACAGTAAAATGACAGTCAACTCATATATATCAACATCTCAACCTAAAAAAAAATGCAAAGGCGAAAGCAAACTAAGCAAACAACTAGAACAGGAACAGAATCACAGAAATGGAGAGTCACATGGAGCATTAACAGTTAGGGAGTGGGAGGGAGATAGAGGTGGAAAAGGTACAGAGAATAAGTAACATAAATGGTAGGTAGAAAATAGGGAGAGGTTAAGAATAGTATAGAAAATGTAGAAGCCAAAGAACTTAAATGTATAACCCATGGACGTGAACTAAAGCAGGGGGAATATGAGTGGGAGGGGGTGTGCAGGGTGGATGGGGAAAAAGGGAGGAAAATGGGACAACGGTAATAGCATAATCAATAAAATATATTTAAAATGTGACTACATTAAACTATAAAGTTTTGCACAACAAAGGAAATTATCAACAAAATAAAAAGACAACCCACAGAATGGGAGAACATATTCACAGATACATCTGATAAGGGGTTAATCCAACATTTATAAAGAACTTATAAAACTCAAACCAACAACCCAGTTAAAAAATGGGCAAAGGACCTGAATAGACACTTCTTCAAAGGGAACATACAGATGTCCAATAGACATATGAAAAGATGCTCAACATCACCAATTATCAGACAAATGCAAATTAAAACCACAATAAGAAATCATCTCACACCTGTCAGAATGGTACAACAAATGTTGATGATGATGTGGAAGGTGTTGTAAGGGGACTAAATATTAATAGGAAAAATACAATAAAAATTAATAAAGTGTGGTCATTACTGTATGGTCAGAACTCTTAAGATTACCCAGCTTCCCTCCAAGGCAAGAACATGGGGCCACTGAGACCTGACAAGGTCTACAATTTAGGGGGAAAAAAGAGTAAGAGAAAAATTTGAATAACTTCATCTGCATGTATTGTAACCTAATGTTCTGAAACTGCATATGGCAAAATTAGTTCTCCTCAAAACAGCTAATCATTTAAATTTTAGTTAAATAAATTTGCTGCCCCCTGTTGAAACTCAAAGCCAAAGCAGTCCTTAAAGTAAAAAGTTTATCAGTGGGGAACTCCAAAAAATATTTTTTGTTCTTATTTATATCACATAGAATGTGGACATTGATAAATAAATAGCACTTTTTCATGGTGTGCTAATCTCAGAAAATATGCAAGTTTCTTTCAGATGTGCTGGTCACATGAATAACCTGGTGACCCCATTAATGTCCATCCTTTTGTTTTCATAAATTTAACTACTAGCCACACTAGGAGAAGCCACATTATTCATGACTCAAAATATAGTCTCTACATAATATAATTCCTATGATTTAGAAATGCTTCATATACTTCATACCAACAAAATGAGTGAAATAGGAGTTATGTTAAAACAAACAAAAGGTATACAGTGGCACTATTACTAACTAGTTAACAGTTATTATGTGCCAGATACTGTCCTAAGTGCTTTCTATACATGATTCACTTGGACTTCAAAGTAGCACAAAGAGATGAGTAGCTTAGTATCTATTTGTCAAAAGGAGCAACTGAGACACAGAGAAGGCTATAACTTTCCTGATGTCACACAGTTAATGGTAGTCTCAAGATTTGAACTCAAGCATCCTGGCTCTGGCTCCAATTCCTACATGTTTACCCACTATATTATGTTATCTCTATATTAAATTCATAATTCTTACATAAAAGTAAGTCCTAAATTATAAGCAAGATCCCATTGCATGTGCTATAAAACATTAGAACTCAATAAGAATGATGTCCCTGTAAAATAGACAGCATAGTATTAAAATGGGTCAGATTGTATGTCTCATGTCACTGTCCTCCACCTCCATTGCCACCCACCCTTCCACCCACTTCTCCTTCCAGGTGTGAACTGGCAAGAACAGGTGACCAGATAGCCCAGCTCTATTGGGTGCAACTGACAGTAATTTTGAACAAAAGTCAACAGTACACTGTTATCTTCTTGAACAACAACAAAAAAGTTGTATACTCATAATGAATAAGTATTTGTAGGCAAGCATGAAAGAGAAGACAGGAAATCTTACATAACCTGTGCCCACAGATGTCAAACCCTCTGTAAAAGATACAGGGCTTTAGAGAAATTAATCCTGCCCCATTTCATCTCCTCCATAATCAGATCCATAATGTGTGTCAAATGTCTGCTTAGGGTTGGGCAAGAACAGTGTGCCCTTTTTATAATTCCAAATTATAGTTCTTTTCACTAACAGCACAGATGTAAACACAGAGATAGAGCCTCTAAACTAGAGGAATGAAGTAAGGTCAATATACAACAACAAAAAAAGAAATTGCAGTATAATAGGGATCAAAGGAAATCATAATCAGTTAGTGAGGAAATAAAAGGGCTTTTTATGAAAAAGGTGTTTTTTATGGGACCCTTAAAAGCAGGTAGGATTTTAACAAGTTGTTACAAAATGGAGTAAGTGCATTTTAGACAAAGAGAAGACATGTTCTCAAAGCTAGAACTTAGTTCCTGGGCTTTCAGCAGCCCACTGCCTAAGTCATGGTCCTGTCCTCCTGGCAATGGCCTGTGAAGCCTGTCATGCTCAATGCCCACTTCCCTGTCTCTTCCTTGACTCCCTACTTCCCCAGCTGGGAGCTGTGACTGTGCTTTGTGGGCCTGAAGAAAGCTTCCACCCCCCTCCCTACCACCCACCACAGTGCCGGTTCTCTCCAGAAAATCATATCATCTGACCGTGAGGAAGCACACTGAAGAACTCTGAACAATTTACCTCCATGGTTTTCCCCCACCCTGATTTTTATTTCAAGGTTTCTTTTGCCAAGAATCTCCCTCTTGCCCATCTTCCCTTACCCCTGCAAGTTCTAAAATTACCAACAGGACTAGTTCTGTTCAGGGGCCAGAGGCAGCTGCCTTTGCTTCCAAATAAGGCAGCCCCTGCCTCTAGCTTACTCGTAATTTCCATGAGAGTACTCAGAAGGATCAGAAGGAACTAACTCACTTGGAAAAGGAAACACCTGTTCTCATGTAAGAGTTCCAGTAAAATCTGTGGCAAGCCTGCCTTTGTTATCAGTTAGTCAAAAGGAAGCTAATCAAAGGACATCTAAAGTAGCAGAATCATAGACCATTCTGTTGCATTCAGTAAACACTTAAGATCTTCCTACATGTCATACACTGGATATTCAAAATTGAACAATGAACAAGTGATATCACAAAGATTTTAGAGTATAGTAGGGAGAAAAATCCATGCAGATTTAAAAATAATATATTGAGTGCAGGGTGCCTCAGGTATAGAGAAGAGTTTCATAGCCCAAGGGCACCACAACAAACAGCCAAGTAAGTGGAGGAGCCCAAGAAGGCCAGGCTGAGATGAGATAGTCAGAGTAGAACCAGGAGATAGAAGAAACATAGAGCTCAAAGGAATAGAAAGAAATTTCAAGAAAAACTGGTTAGATGAACTGGAAAGGGCTGACATGGGGCTTTTTGCTCAAGTGCCAAACCCCATCACCTTACAAACAAGGAAACAATGGCCCTGAGAGGAAGATAACTTTGCCCCAAACCACATAATTCTTAGCTACACAGTTAGAGTTATTGATATTTAACTGAGGACTTAAAAAAGAAAGAAAGAAAACCAAAGCCATGTGAATCCAAATGGTAGTAGCACAAATTTTCATCATGTAAAAAAATTGCTGCTGGCAATTTTTAGCAATGATCAGAAAAGAATGTGAACATGTATGGCGTGTACCTTTTCTTCCAAACATCCCTCTAGGGATTTCCACTTACATTATCTTGTTCTGTCCCTAAATGGACCCCAACAAGTCAGTATTACCCCCATTTTTATGGAAGAGACATTTGAGACTGGTGGTGAGTAATTGAGTGGCTGGCAACTAAAGACATGTTAATAACATGTCTGCATTATAATTAGACATAGATCCAAAAGGAAAGTAAATCACTTTGAAAATGGTTTTATCTCTTTAGGGCTCTGTTTATGTCCATTAAATAGATGGATGTTTAGATGTCACTGATTTTATCTCTCAATAATTCAGTTTGAGGTGAACAGACATGCTATCATCACTCTTAACTCCTTTGGCACAGAATTAAGCAGAGATGACCAATAGGCTCTCTACCCAACCTGTGGCAAGCTCTACCCTAAGGGACTACATCTGCTGGCCCAAGCAGATGACTTCAAACAGATGAAGAGAGTAGCAGACCACTATAGAGTACATGATTCCAGGGTTCCCCAGACATCCGTATGACTTCATCGCGTGTGCCTTAGAAGGCATATATCATGTTGACACTTCTCATCTACAGCACTTGTAATATTTGTAAGGTGGAAAGCCATATCTCTTGCTGTAATTCTCTTCCAGAGAAGTATTTGTGATTCTAATCCAAGTGGGTGATCTTTAAGGTTCCTGCCATTCAAGTAATGTTTAGTTCTCCAAGTCCTTGGAGTACTTCTTTTGATGTGTTGGATAAAGCAAATTCCCCAAGAGACTGGTGTTCTGGAAATGTGAGCGCATGTCAGTGTTATGTAAGATAGCCTGACCCAGCAATTCCTTGAAGCACCCAGTGGGTAGACAGGGTCAGGTACCAAATTTCTACTTGAAATATGAGGGAGGGTATGGGTATGTCAGTTTGTGTACTTTCTGGGCTCAGTGGCCAGGAACATGGAATGAAAAGAGATATGGAGACTGAACCTTCTTCACTCAAGTCATACTCCTCCTCCCATCACATTCCTCCTAGCTTATGGGTGCAACATACAGATCCTACAGGTAACTTTACAAAGCTGAGAGGACCCTCTTCTCATCTTTCCCTATGGATTCCCAAAGCCCTCTGGGAAAGATCAAAGTCAGCAAACAATGTCTAGACCTCTGTAACATCTCATGTCACTGCAAGAGGCTTTATAGCATAATATTAAAATGTGAGCTTCTCCCCAATATCCACCTCTTTTACACGTGAACTTCCATGTGAATTTCGTTAGTTGTCATCCCAAAGAGCCCATGAACTCATACCGATGGAGCATTAATTGAGCCCTGGAGTGTGACTAATGAACCCTATGCCTGACCATGAACCTGAAATCAAATGCTGCACACTGAGGAGGATGTTTTGCCCTCAGACCTTGCAGTCTGCATCTCTCAATGGGCTGCAATCCCATCACTTTCATTCAGAAATCTTGATGTTTGTAGTGTTCTGAATAGGCTTATAAAATCGATGCATAATATCTTTATTGCTAGGAAAATATCATATATATTTATAAGAAATGAACATTTATTTTAAAATAGTCTATTTTCTTTTTAAGGTATACAAGCCTCTGTTTGAGACTGTGGGTGATGGCAGTGGGAAAAAAGTCTTTGGAAGATGTGTTTTATGAGCATGAGGTATGCTAGTCATGGAAATACTATCAGCTTATACATACTTTTTTCTTCATCTGGGGTTTAAATATCTTCTTACTTTGAGTGTCAGATCTCTGCTTGGGCAGGCCCTGTGGTTCTCATATGGTGACTTCTTTGTGGAATTGCCCAGTCCAGATAAATATGCAGAGTGGCACTCTGGGAAGAATGCAGTGTTTGCATAATGACCAAGAGAAACAACACCAGGCACAGTTGTGATCAGAGATTGTCCTCATGGTGTACATCCTGGTAGGAGCACCTCACTCCCAGTCCATCCCTTCATGGATTTAACTAGGGTTATGGTACAATTCAAGGCACAGTTATAACAGTTAGGAATTGTTCTTAAGGAAATCCATAGAGTCCATATCATTCTTTTCCTAAAAAGGAAGAAAGGTATTTAATTCATCTACAGTCAGTTTCTGGGTAGTAAGCTGGTCAACAAAAGGATTTTATTATTGTATTGTCTTGTATTTTTTTGTACCAAGTAAGGTCCTCCAAAACTAGAAATCTTTCTAGTGTATTCTATTCATTTCTCCAGACCATCAGCCCTTTTAATTCAAATGTTTGGAACAAACAGAGAACCCTGAAATTAACACAAACCATGAGGCTGCACAAGCCCCAGCAAACAGAATGGGGGGTGGGGTTCCTGTCAGTCCTACTCTGAACCTTTTCCACTGCTTTTTGTGTCTGTCAAAACAATTGAACTGTAAGTCAGGTTGCTGCAGACCATACTAGAAAATCTCATATCTCTGAGACTAAATTCCAGGGGTCTGGAATGTTGCCAGAGGAGTTAGACAGCCTAAAAACCTTTTTAAATTTTTAAAAGCTGTGACCAAGAAAAATACTTTCTTTAAACAAGATAAGCCCACTCGCTAGAAGCCAGGTAAATATAACACCAAAGTCACACACATGCAACCAAGGTTCTAAGAATCTGTGCTCACAACACTGCTAAGATTTGAAGATTGTCTTGTGGTTCTACAAGCTTACTTTTTAAACTGCTATTCTCTGGATTTAATATGCTCAAGCACAAGCCAGTTTGTAGTTTATTGCTTCATAAACAATGTAAGCCTTAAATGAGCTGATGGTCTGCATTCTTTTTTTTCCTCAGGTGAAAGTGAATGTGCTGGCATTCAACAGGCAGTTCCACTGTGGTGTGTTTTATGCTTACATTAAATTGAGGGGACAAGAAATGAGAAACATTGTGTGGATTGTAGAGTGCATCTCACAAAGACATCGGACTAAAATTAATAGCTACATTCCAACTCTGTAACCCAGCACAGGGCCTCAGATGCAGAAAAATCACAAATGTGAAGAGGAAACCATTGAGGAAAGTAAAAAGAATTGTGTTAGATTATCTAGGTTACACAGAAGGAAGCTACATGGCTCCTTTAGGAATTGCAGGCTTTCTAGAAGCATAGTAAACCAGCCCTGAAACAAAGTTCTCATTTTTCTTCCTGCAGCCTTAAATCTTGTTTCCACATTTGTGTCTCACTCTTTACCAGGCTTTAGGCATTCATCTTAATGAGCCCTTTGGTACTTCCACTATTTTTATTTTGTCGTGTTAAAAATCAAATCTAATAAAAGTGTTTTACTCAAGCTTTTCATTCTTCTCCATGGGCCCATATATTAAGTGTTTGTTTTACTTTTTAACTGTTGATCCACAAAAATCCAGAACTGTATGTTAGTTCACTTGGACCACATGTGATAGGAAAAATTTCCTTTTTTCTGATACACTCTGATCTGGTAGGCTCAGAAGAGCTGCCAGTTTTAAATCAGATTCCCTGGATGCAAGTAATGTTAAATTTGTTATTGAGGCTACAACTAATAACTCATAAAGCTTTCTCTAAACAAAAGATATAGCTCTTTCTTATGGTTCTTTCATGCTTTGCCTGAAGAAAAAATAACCTAACTAACTGTATTTTACACACTGAGAAGCATAAATCACAGGGTCAATTTGTACCTCATGGATTCTCTATAAAATTTCAGTGAAAATGGTGCACAGAGCTGCCCAAAGAAAGAAAAGCAACACACACTTCTCAAGTCCTTTCTTTCAAAATAAAAGAGATTTCTAAATAGAAAATTCATTCTTGTGTTATGGGGGAGGAAGAAACTCTCCTCTAACTTAAGGTTCTGCTGGCTGTTCTAATAATTACATAGACATGAGATAGATTAGCAAGAGAAAATAACCAAATTTAATACATATGTGCATATGAGAACCCTGCATAAATGAGAGAATCAGAGACAAAGAAGGATCTAGGTATAAAAGACATCCTGAGCTAGCGATAAGGTAAGTCAGTCACCTTGGGAGCTCCAAAGGGTCATTGCAAGATGATGAGAACAAATGTTTAGTAAATATAAGTTTTCCCTGACGTTATAGGTAGATCAAAAAGAGATTATCATTGATAATCTATTATGGGCAAAGCTCCTAATTCAAGTTCTAACTAGTTAAGGGGTGGCGGGGTCATAAATTTCTCTTGAGCCTGAAGCTAAAATTACCTAACAATCCTTGTACCATAGAGGGACGTCTTGAGGTGGTTTATTCTGAACCCCCACAAGGGGTTTCACCAGTAATAACTTTTTAAAAAGATTTTATTTATTTCTTTTTAGACAGAGTGGAAGAGAGGAAGAAAGATGGAGAGAAACATCAATGTGTGGTTGCCTCTTGCACTCTCCTTACTGGGGAGCCTGGCCTGCAACCCAGGCATGTGCCCTGACTGGGAGTCAAACCAGTCACCCTCTGCTTCGCAGTCCAGCACTCAATCCACTGAGCCACACCAGCCAGGGCTCATTAGTAATAACTCTTAAGTCTACCACTTAAAAGATACTGTCAACCACGTCAGATGTGCCAGACCTGGTGGACTAGAAGATGCCATCATAGCTAAGACTGAAATGTTTGGTACAACAGTCCTATAGAGAGCAGGACCAATAAAATGGCATTGGTTTGATCAAGATAGGATAAAGTATATAAAACAAAGTGAAGTAACTTATGTCAACTAAAATGACTGTCAGTCAGCAATGACACTTTGGTTTAAGAGGAGAATTACCTAAAAGTAAACACATCTGGCAAGGAGACATATCTGCCCACATGGTCAGAGCAGAGACATCTGGCAAGGATGGAGACATCTGGAGTCACACACTCCAGCCATAGATGGTCTGGACAAATTAACACTTGCCATCAGGGATGCCAAGACATTTAGCAAAAAGACCCAGAAGTATGGAGTACACCACTTTCAAGGTATAACTGAGGGAGGCTCCAGACCACTGCTGAGGTAGCCAAGTTCCACACACCAGAGTGTTGCTACACACTGCACTGATCTCCCTTGGCATTGGCTGCCAGAAGCTCTACCCTGCTGATCTCAGGATTTTGCCTGCCCTGCTGCCCACCTGGCTCTGGAGATTCTTCCTTGCAAGATGCTGACAACTCCCTTGCCCACTGTACTGTCTCCTGGACCTCAGACTGAGACTCTGGGACGCAAGCTCATTATGCCCCACTGATTGCTGTGTGTGTTATATTTCTCTTAGATTGTTACAGTGTGAATAGGATATTAATGCGTGTTGATGTTCTACTTTGAATGAACCTGCATTAAATAAAAGTTGAGTGGATAGCATAGTTAGAGTGTGTGACTCTTGTCTATTCCTTAGTGCTGGGCTGCTCAGCAGGCAGCTAGCTGAGCAGTTGCCTGGCTGACTTACAGGAAAGACTATATCACAAACATATGCTTGTGATAAGTCCTGCCTCTCCTTGTTCGATTCCTCTCATTCATTTTGAGTTATTTTCACTTCAGCAAATAGAAGCATTAATTCTTCTTTGTACCAACTAGAGAGCTGCTGAGAGATGTTTGTGACATAAGAAGAGGGCATCAACGTTAGTGCTTTCAGCCCTGACATCTCCCAAGAACAGAGGGTAGGAGTTTTAATGTCATTTGGACTGCTATGTGGTTATAAAGTTTACAAACTATAAATATAAAAACAGGATGTAGTCCCCCTGGCTAGTCTGGCTTAGTGGACTGAGTGCCATACTGTGAAGCAAAGGGTCACTGGTTTGATGCCCAGTCAGGGCACATGCCAAGATTGCAGGCCAAGTGTCTGGTAGGGGGCGCATGAGTGGCAACTACACATTGATGTTTCCCTCTTTCCCTTTCTCTCTCCCTGAAAATAAATAAATACGATATTTTTTAAATTTTTTAAAATAAAAATTGTGTATAGAAACTACAATATAGCTCAAACCACCTGCCCTCAGCAATTTGTTGCCCTCTTTCCTCTCACTTACATCTTCTTTATTCTGTCTGGTTTACCACCAGTCTTTGTCACCCTGGCTCTACCCCCCAGTCCCCACCACTAACAATTTAATTTTATAAATTATTAGAATAGTTATGCAGATACAGGCCCGCAGTGTGCATGGTGTTATGCATGAGATGAGATAAATTCACACAGACTACTGAGTCCTGTGGAGGAAAAGGGACAGCACGACTACTCTCTCAAGAAGAGAGCACCCAGACACTTGGTTTATTTGTTTGTTTGTTTGTTTGTTTGTTTGTTTATTGTTCAAGCACAGTTTTCTGTCTTTTACTCCAATTCCAGCCCACCCTCCCAGTGCTCCCCACCTCCCTCCAATTTCCACCCCCCTTAGTTGTTGTCTGTGTGCCCTTTATACTTGTTCCTGTGGATCCTTCCCCTTTTCCTCTGAAATTCCTTTCCCTCTCGCCTCTGGTCCCTGTCAGCCTGTTCCCTATTTCAGTGTCTTTGGTCATATTTTGCTTGCTTGCTTGTTTTGTTGTTTATGTTCCTGTTAAAGGTGAGATCATATGGTATTTGTCTTTCACCACTTGGCTTATTTCAACAAGCATATGCTTTCCAGTTCCATCCATGCTGATGCAAAGGGTAGGAGCTCCTTCTTTCTTTCTCCTGCATAGAATTGTGTAAATGTACCAGAGATTTTTTATCCATTCATTTACAGATGGGCACTAGGTTGCTTCCAACACTGGGCTATTGTAAATTGTGCTGCTATGAACATTGGGGTGCATAGGTTCTTTTTAATTGGTGTTTCAGGGTTCTTAGGATATACTCCTAGCAGTAGAATTGCTGGGTCAAAAGGCAGATCCATTCTTGGTTTTCTAAGAAAATTCTATACTGTTTTCCATGTACTAGTGGTTATATGAGTCTGCAATTCCACCAACAATGAAATAGGGTCCCCTTTTCTCCACAATCTCTCCAAACTTGTTGTTTGTTGCTTTGTTTATGATGGCCATTCTGACCAGTGTAAAGTGGTATCTCATTGTGGTTTTAATTTGCATCTCTCTGATAGCTAGAGATATTGAGCATCTTTTCATGTGTCTCTGGATCCTCTGCATGTTCTCCTTGAAGAGATATCTATTCAAGTACTTTGCCTAACTTGTTAATTAAGTTGCTTATCTTCTTACAGTGGAGTCATGTAAGTTCTTTGTATATTTTGGAGATTAAACCCTTATCTGAGGTATCATTGGCAAATATGTTTTCCCATACAGTTAATTCTCTTTTTATTTTAATACTGTTTTCTTATAGTGATGAAGAAGCTTTTTATTTTTATGAGATCCCATTTGTTTATTCTTTCCTTTATGTACCTTGCTCTAGGGGACATATTAGTGAAAATGTTGCCGCATGAAATATCTGAGATTTTCCTGCCAATGTTCTCCTCTAGGACTTTAATGGTGCCATGGCTTACATTTAAGTCTTTTATTGACCTTGAATTTATTTTGGTATATGGTGTCAGTGGGTGCTCGAATTTCATTTTTTTGCATGTAGCTGTTCAGTTCTCCCAACACCATTTGTTGAAGAGGCTATTTTTACTCTATTTCATGTTGCTGTCCCCTTTGTCGAATATTAATTAACTGTAGAGACTTGGATTTATTTCTGTGCTCTCTGTTCTGTTTCATTGGTCTATGTGCCTGTTTTTATGCCAGTACCAGGCTGTTTTTATTAGAGTGGCCTTGTAATACTATTTGGTATCAAGTATTGTGATCCCTCCTACTTTCTTCTTTTTCCTCAAAATTTCAGCTGCTATTCAGAGTCATTTATGGTTCCATATACATTTTTGAAGTGTTTGTTCTATGTCTGTGAAATATGCCATAGCAACTTTAATGGATATTGCATTGAATCTGTAAATTGCTTTGGGTAGTGTGGATATTTTGATTATGTTAATTCTTTCAATCCATGAACATGGTATATGTTTCCACTTGTTTGTGTCTTCCTTGATTTCTTTCTTCAGTGTTGTATAGTTTTCTGCATACAGAT